CGGCCCCGCCTCCACCCACGGCCCCGCCTCCACCCACGGCCCCGCCTCCACCCACGGCCCTCCATGGTCAGTGTCCCCCCAGCTTAGGACCGCAGGAGGGCACGGCTGAGCCCAGCTCCGGTCAGGACGGGTTGGCTAGAATCAGAGTGGGCTGCGGGCGCCCACGTGGCGGCGGAGGCCGTCTACCCACCACCGTGTCCCTGGCCGGAACCCGGCGGACAGGCTGCGCTCCCTCTGCTGGCACGCGCTTCTCCGGGGAGGCCCTTCCTGCCGCTCCGCTCCGTTGGCCTTTTCGGCTGTTGGGCTTGGCCCCCCCCCCAGTCAGTCCTGTGCAGCCCCATCCCAAGGTAATTAAATCTGCAGAGGCCTTGTTCCTGAATAAGGCCACACTTGGGTACCAGGTGGATACGACCGCGGGCCGGGCACGGTCGGCCGGCTGGGCGATCCAGACTCAGCCCCGGGTGGGCTGAGGCGGCGCCAGCACACCACCTTCCCTACGCCGGGCTCCAGGAGCGGTCCTGCCCACCCAAACGGAGGGAGAGAGCTCCTCCTTGCAGGGGTGGCCCTCCACATTGCCCCCGGACCCTGCCGTCCGGTTAGTACCTCTCGGCCCATCCTCGGCTCCCAGGTCTGCTATTCTCTCTGCCAGACAGCTCCTCCATCCTCTCATCTCCAGAGCGGCCTGTGACGGAGAACACTTGGGACCCACCAGCTCCTGGCTGGGTTCTCTTTAAGGCCTTCATCCCCAAGGTCCCCTGTCTGTCCCTGGGCTGCCATCTCCTCTGTGTCCAGTAGGGGGCGGACGGAGGGAACTGGGAGCTCTAGCTCCCCGCTGACCTGCCTCAGTTTCCCTTGCTGGGGGGCAGTGTTCAGAAGGGAGAGCTGCAGCAGTGTGGATGGTAGACACTCGTGTTTCATAATGTCTGACACCATAGTCAGCAGCCACGTGCAGCTACGCAGTAGTTGAAACTGGCGGACTCAATTTTCTGTGCAGTGAAATTCAAATAGTCATACGTGGCTACGGGGCTGATCCCCCATCCCCCAGACCGTGTTGCTCAAGGTTGGTCCTCCATAAACGGAGGCATGCGGGCCAGTCCGACCCCCAGGCCAGAGGACCTGAAGTTCAGGAGGTTCTGCAAGCTGGGCAGGCCTCTAGGTAAGCCTGATGCTGCCTGCTGAGCCAGCCCTGTCTAGGTGAGTTTCAGAGCTGCTTTAACCACGCACTCATCCCTTGAACTCTGCTCTTGTGGAGTTGGGGTGAACTCCTGCTGTCTTCTCCAGAACTCCCCGGTAGCCCGGCTGGAAACAGAGCCGATAGTCACCTGGATTCCTCAACAGAAGGCTGCAGCCCACAGAGCTGGCCCCAGGGCCATCTGGGCTCCACTGGGTATGGGAATGCAAGTCCCTAGGAGACATCCAAAGCCAGGAGCCCCTGTCTCTCCTCCCCATTCCCTAGCTACAGGGAGGAGCTGGAGGAGCATGGGAGGCCCTGTCCAGAGGGTGGGTCCCAGGACCAGGCCTGAGCAAAGCCCATCTGACAGGGCACACCAGAGAGCAGCCTCGACACAGACTTGGAACCAACCGGACAGGTACCTCAGGCTCCTCGCAGCCCTAGGGAGGTTGCCCACACGCAAGGCTCCTAACTGCCCCAAGACCATCCCTCAGGCAGCAGCGCCCAAGGCTGGGCCTGGAGGAGGTGGCCAGTGCTGAGGCTGAGGAGAGCTGCACCCACTAGGAGACTCCACAGCGCCCCCACAGAGGACATCACCTGGACACATGCAGGACAGACCTGGTTGGAATTGTGGTTGGAACCGCAGACTGTTCCCACTGATGGGTCTCCCCAAGTTGAAGCAGTGACCCCTGCTCGGTACCAGGCTCTGCCTGTGCATGGGGGCAGCCCCGGTCTCCCGCAGGCTGACCACAAAGCTCTGTGGTCCACGACCTACTTCTAGAAGCTGTACTTGGCACCTGAGCGGCATGACTGGCCGCTGCTTCCTGCCCCGTGTCAGGACAAGCGCCAGCCTCAGGAGATGCTCTGGGAAGGGTACCGTGGTCCATTCCTCCTCTTGTTCTGAGAGGCGCTAGGCTCCTGTACGGAGTGGGGCCTGTGTTCCCCACCGCTGCCCTTGCTGTGCCCCCTGCCAGGGCCCCATGACACACCCCACTACAGACCACATGACCTGGCAGCCACCCTGACCCCTTCCAGAAAGTGGTGGGCCCCGTGGCACTCCCGCACCCAGGCACCGCCGGCTCCACTTGCTGGCAGTTAGGAGCAGAGTCCTGGACGTGACGGGTCTCATTCTCTGCTGCAGACCTGGTCAGAGCTCACATTCTCCCCATGGGGCCCAAGGGCAGGGCAAAGTGCCAGCGCTGTGGGCAGGAGCTGAGCCCTCGGGCAGCCTGTCCCAGCACCAGGCAGGAGAGCCAGGGACCCCACCGTCTGTGCCGTGGTGACCTGAGCCAGGACCGTGTGGATGGGCAGATTCTGGGCCAGCTGCGCCCCCTGACAGACGAAGAGGAGGAGGGGGCCGGGGCTACCTCGCCCCAGGGGCCTGCCTTTCCGGAGATGAGCTCAGAGGAGCTGCGGCTGGCCTCCTTCTATGACTGGCCATCAACTACCAGCGTTCAGCCTGAGCTGCTGGCTGCCGCCGGCTTCTTCCACACTGGTGAGCCCCAGGGTCCTCCCGTGGTGGGCTAGGCGCTCTGCCCACCCTTCCACAGAAGGGTCTGTGCTCCTGCAGCCCTCGCTATGGTCCAGCGCCCTCCTCCCCAGGGTCACCTGAAAACGTGGGCACGTGGGGGAGGGGCTTGTTCTGGCCCTGGTGCGATCTTGACGTGGGGGAGGGGGGTCGGCAGACTCGGTGGTGGCACCTGGATCTGGCCCTGCAGATCCATGCCCCTCACGAGTCCCCAGAGTGCTTGGTGACAGGTGACTAGGCTCCATCCCCAGAGTAAGAGAGGATTAGGGACAAAACCAGGACGTTGTCCTTGGGAACAGAGGTTGGCCTGAATGACCTAGCTGCTGCTTGGCTCACAACTGTCCCCTCAGCCTTCCATGCCCAGGAGGTGCCATTCTCTCGACCTTCCACGCCCAGGCTGGTACCCGCCCCTGACTCGAGACACAGCCACTTGAATGACCATCCTGGTCTCCGTGTGGGCTGCTCCTTGCCCATGGCCAGAGGCCGTGTGCTCTTCCTGACGGAGGGAGAAGGTGTGAGACCTGTTTGGCAGGGGAGAGTTGGGTAGAGCTGTACCTGGGGAGTCAGCCCTTCCTCCCCTGGGCGCTGTCTGGTAAGGGGCCAAGTTGAACCTAGGGTAAGGAGACCAGCAGCTGGATGGTCAGGAACCAGCTTAAGAAGGGGCTCTGTGGTCAGTGTAACGGGGCCGCTCAGTGTCTGTACACCCTGTGTACAGGCTGTGGACAGCCCTGCTACACTCATTGGGCCTCTGCAAAGGTTTTGTAGCTCACGTCTGCCCGCAGTAGTCGGGCGCTACAGGGGACAATGCTAGGGAGGTGTGACCCTTTTTTTTTTTTTTTTTGTCGGTTGTGGGGCTTGAACTCTGGGCCTGGGCGCTGTCCCTCAGCTCTTCA